CTACATCAGATTTGATAGACCACAAATCCTTGCTAAAGAACACCGATTCCTTCCAAGGATGATTCGCGAGGCTATTGAAATCAAAAAACATCCTAATTTCAATAGAGAAGATGGCTGGGTGCTACCATCTGCTTGGGATCCTATAATAAATAAAATTAAATCCCAACCCAAGCATACAACTGCAAGACTCCATGATACCATAAGGTTCATACTGTGTAGATCGGAACAAAAGTTAAATTTTAATCTATGGTAACCGCGGTTAACTATGACAGCTGGACGTTGAACATCTCAGTCCTTCCCGTGACCATGGGTGCTGTAAAGCTCTCGAAACGTCGGGTAAAAAAGTTAAATATACGCGATAAATTCCGTAAAAATTAGTATTATTTCAATATGGCAAATATCCCCCCATGAGCAACGACGCAAATAAACGGCCCCCAGTCCCCGGCGGCCCCGCTATTCCTGGCTACGGTGGCGACCATGGTAACGGCGGGGCAGGGGTGCTAAGAATCTCCGGTGGAGGTTCGGTTGCCACCTACGACGACTCGACCTGGCAACGTATAACGCACGCACCCTGAGGACTGACGAGAAGATACTGGAGCTGGAAGAAGAGGTAGACAAGTTGCGCTGGCACATTATTGGATTATCTGAAATCCGAAGAGAGGGGGAGGACACGGTAATCCTCGAGTCCGGGAACTCGTTCTATCACCGGGAGGGCGACCATCTGTCCCAAGGAGGTGTCGGATTTATCGTCCACAAGTCTCTCGTCAACAACGTTGTAAAGATTGGGAGTGTGTCGACGAGGGTCGCGTACCTGATACTCAGAATGACGAAACGGTATTCGCTGAAGGTCATACAGGTCTACGCACCAACCTCGGCACATCCCGATGAGGAGGTGGAGGAAATGTATGAGGATATTTCTAGAGCCATGCATTCCTCCAAAACCCACTACACGGTGTTGTTGGGAGACTTCAACGCAAAACTAGGCACAAGAGAAGGCGGTGAGCTGAAGTTAGGGAAATTTGGAATAGGGCAACGGAACCGTAGGGCCCAGCAGCTGGCTGACTTTATGGAGAAAGAGGGACTCTTTATGATGAACTCTTTCTTCCAGAAGCGGCCCCACAGGAAGTGGACCTGGTCGAGCCCCGACGGTTCGACAAAAAATGAGATTGACTTCATTATGACGACCAGGCGCCAACTGTTCAGTGATGTCTCAGTGATCGCAAGGGTGAAAACCGGCAGCGATCACCGAATGGTTAGAGGCACACTGAACCTAAACGTTAAGTTGGAGAGGTCTCGTCTAATGAAGTCAACGCTCCGTCCCCCTCGTGCTCTAATCCAGAATCCCGAGACTTTTCAGCTCGAGTTACGTAACCGCTTTCAGTGCCTAGAAGATTGCAATGCAGTGGACGATATGAATGACAAGCTCGTGGAAACTGTCCATGCGGTCGGAGCTAAGTTCTGCAAGACCCGCCGTAGAAGAACACAAATACTCTCCGATCACACTCTTAATCTCATAGCTGTTAGACGGGAGATGAGGCTGCAATCGTCAACAGATTTGACAGCATACAGGCAACTGAACAGACAGATCTCCAAATGCATGCGGCAAGACTTACGCAACTTTAATTCTGCTCGTATTAAAGAAGTGATCGAGCGGAAGCAGGGCTCCAAAGTCTTTGCCAGAGATCTGTCTGCCAGAAAGAGCCAACTGTCAAAGCTGAAGACTGAGTGTGGCAGCATCGTTTCCGGGACACCTGAGATTTTGAGTGAGATTGAGAGGTTCTATGGGCAGCTGTACACATCATCGTTGGAGCCACACGCAAGTGTGAGTAACGATCCAAGAGCAAGTCTTACCCGACACTATTCCGATGATATAGTCCCGGACGTCAGTCTGAGCGAGATTAGAATGGCTCTCCAGCAGGGCCCCAGGCGAGGATATAATTACAGCGGAGCTTCTGAAAGCGGGTGGAACACCGGTACTTGAAGTCCTTCAAAAGCTCTTCAATTCCGTCCTCCATGGTGGCACTACTCCGGAGGCGTGGAGCAGAAGTGCGGTGGTCTTGTTCTTTAAGAAAGGCAACAACGCTCTCTTGAAGAACTACAGACCGATTTCCCTTCTGAGCCGCGTCTACGTGCTGTTTTCGAGAGTCATTACGAATCGTCTCGCACGCAGACTCGACGACTTCCAGCCTCCCGAACAAGCCGGTTTCCGAAAAGGCTTCAGTACCATAGACCACATATATACCCTGCAGCAGATTGTACAGAAGACCGAAGAGTACAATCTGCCACTTTGCCTGGCGTATGTGGACTATGAGAAAGCCTTTGATTCCGTTGAAATTTGGGCGGTGCTACAGTCCCTTCAGCGGTGCCAAGTTGACTGTCGGTATATCGAAGTGCTGAAGTGTTTGTACAGTATGGCTACGATGGCTATCCGAGTACAGAATCAGAGCTCGAAACCTATCCAACTGCAGAGAGGTGTAAGACAGGGTAACGTGATATCCCCGAAACTCTTCACCGCTGCATTGGAAGACGTTTTCAAGCTACTGGACCGGAAAGGATACGGTATTAACATCAATGGCGAGTACATCAGTCACCTTCGATTTGCCGACGATATAGTCCTTATGGCAGAATCGCTGGAAGTCTTAAGCACTCAATGACCTCAATGGTGTCTCTCAACGGATAGGTCTTAAGATGAACATGGACAAAACAAAGATCATGTTTAATGTCGATGTCTCACCTATGCCGGTAGTTGTTGGGAGCACTATGCTCAAAGTTGTTGACGAGTACGTTTACCTGGGACAAATAGTCTGACTAGGTAAGTCCAACTTCGACCGAGAGGTCAATCGACGGATTCAACTCGGCTGGGCAGCGTTCGGGAAATTACGACACATCTTCTCGTCAGGTATACCTCAATCTCTGAAAACTAAAGTGTACAACCAGTGCGTGTTGCCGGTGATGACTTACGGATCAGAGACGTGGTCCTTTACTGCTGGCCGTATGAGGACGCTCAAGGTCGCTCAGCGAGCTATGGAGAGGGCTATGTTCGGAGTTTCTCTGCGTAATAGATTCAGAAATGAGGATATCCGCAGTAAAACCAGAGTGGCCGACATAGCCCAACGGATTAGTAAGCTGAAGTGGCAATGGGCCGGCCATATAGCTCGAAGAACCGATAACCGATGGGGAAGAAAGGTTCTCGAGTGGCAGCCTCGTTCCGGTAGGCGTAGTGTAGGGCGACCCCCCACTAGATGGAGTGACGACCTGGTAAGACATGCAGAAGGTCGATGGATGCAGGTGGCTCAGGACCGTGCTTTGTGGCGTTACTTGGGGGAGGCCTATGTTCAGCAGTGGACTTGTGAAGGGCTGTAATGATGATGATGATGATTATGTATTCGCGCCATACGCCATTTCAAAGGTGATACATTAGCCTCTTCTATAATTGCCAAATCCCCTTCCTGAAATCCTCGTTGATTGACCTGCCATTTGTACCTTTGTTGTAGATCGCTCAAGTATTCTTTTCGCCAACGTTCCCAGAAGTGTTGACGCAGCTTTTCAAGGCATCGGTACTTATCAAGTCTATTTAAATTAATGTCTAATAAGTTGTCCGATGGTAGTGATGTAAGTGGCCTGCCGATCAAGAAGTGCGCTAGAGTTAAAGGATTGAGGTCATTCGGGTCTGAGGGAAGCGAGGTTAATGGCCTAGAATTAGGGATTGCCTCAATTTGCGCAAATAAAGTAGATAATTCCTCAAAGGTAAGATGTTTGTCGCCTGATATTCTAGTTGCGTGGTACTTTGCAGATTTGACATCTGCTTCTTAAAGTCCGCCAAAATGCGGAGAATACGCAGGTGAAAATTTAAATTGTATGCCTTCATAGAAATATTAAAAACAGGAGAAGTGGCAAGGGGACAGTGTCTGTGTCCGCGCGCTATGATCAAAATGCTCAGCTTCTATACAAATGGTGTCTCTGCGAATTAGTGCGCTTGCGACCGTCATCGTAAAATATTATCAGAATGCTAATAAGTTGTTCAGTGGTTTTTCGTAAAACCGAAGCCAAAACAAAAACTTTGTTAATCATGGAATCACATATCATACCTAAGTACAAGTATTTCATTATATTTATCTTTAAAATCATATTAAATAACAAATCGTAAAATATTTCTTTCTTTTACTACGTTAATTTTGTTTTCAAATATCACAGCCACTGTAATATTTTTACAGCAAATACATTGCTCTATAACCACTACCTAAGTATGACGCCAAGTCACAGAATAAATAATAGTTGGCCAATTGGAGGCGGCGTATTCTACTATAGAAATAATAGTTATACAAATATCTATAATATCGACACACACTTGTCAAAAATGCTTTTGTTTCTTTTTAACTAAGCAGTAGCTTTATTAGAAAAGGGAGACAACAACAGTTTTTCAATTGCTTATTTTGACAACACTTTCGTGTGACGTCATTAGCTCATCCATGCGTGACTGCGTCGCCATGTTAAGCGCTGAGTTTTGTGGTAGATCTGCTGTCAAACTGTTGAATGCTAAAAGTTTTTTTGTTGTGTAGTGCAGTGTCTTCATATTATCTTGTAGTAGGTGTTTTTCTTCTATTTATATTTTATTATGTCAAATAAGTGTCTTACAGTTTATTTCAAGTGTTTTGGTAGGGATGTTTAATTATTACTTTATGTAAGAAGAAGTTGCGCCTTGTGATTATTGTAAATGAAAATGTAACAAAAAAAAAAAACCCCCCCTTTTTTTTTTTTTTTTTGAAATTTTTTTTTTTTCCGATTTTTTTTTTTTAAAAAAATTTTTTAAAAAAAAAAAAAAAAAAAACTAAATTCTTTTTTACACATTCTTGTAGCCGTATGGTGGCGGTGTAAGAATATCTACTACACAAGTGCCAAGCTTGAAACAAAACTAGGAGAAAATACATATATTCGGTGGGAAGCTAAGAAATTATAATTTTTAAAATGTTATAAATAGGTACACTTATTGCTTGCTATTTTCATGATGTGTTACTCTCATTATTTTCATTGTGTTGTTTGGTATGATTTCTTTTTATTTCAACGTACATTGGTACATACGTTGGGGTGCGAACAGTTGTTAATGATTTAAGTCTTTTTATTCTATATTTCTCTGAATTTTCTTTTAATAACTCCATTAATCTTCTCGTATTATGCTCCATATTTCTATAATGACCGTTAATTTGGGGTACGTATGTATTTTTGTTTACTTTGTATTCGTATGTTCTATTCGATTTTTCTTTTTTATAACTCTGTGTAGTAGAATCAACATTATTTACTAATTTGATAATAAGTGTACTTGCTACAATGTCGTCATTTTTATCATTGTATTCAACATTATCCTTTATATATTGTGTAGTAAATATTGAGGTAGCCGTTGTAGTGTCTTCTGAAATTTTCATTGTCAAATATTGATCAGGCACTTTGGCGTCTTCCCGACTAAATTTAATTATATCTGGAGAATGGGTAGGCCAAGTATGTTCTGGCAACAAGACGGTGCTATCAAAGAATGATGTCATAGATGTTGCTTGCGGTAAGGTTCGTGGCGTAGTCACAGAAATGATTCCAAAACTTTCAGCGTGATAATCTTCAACTTCACTTGCATTATACATTCGTAAAACTTCATCGTATCTTTGATTTCGAGAAGCAGTTACTTCAGATTTACTTATTTCGTCATTTTTGCTAGCTATCTTAGTTGGGAAAACATTTGCGTGAACTCTTATTTTGTCATCGGTTATTGATGCCATTTTTGGTTTACTTATCACATTTGTTTTTTCTTTTCCTTTCTCTGGTGTCATATGCAGACTTTGATGCCTAAAATTTGAATCTATAACAGGCATTGTTGATCTAGTTTTAAACTGTATAGTTGGACGTAAGGTTGTTATGTAGATTTTTTTAAATATTTCAGATGAGGTGTTTATCGGCTGTTGTGATTCGATTTTTGACGAATCGTAGGATTTTGAATCAAAAGTAGTGCTACGAAACGAATATTGATTTTTAAAATCTATTCTGTTAATATTTTCAAATTCATTTGATATTTCTACATTATTATTACTTTTCTCACATTTTTTATTGCGATTCAAAGTCGTTTCATATCGAAAATGTGCCCGAGGTGACTGTTCTTCTGCAGCTTTGTTGATAAAAACTGGAGAAAACCTTAAAAAATCTTCAGCTAATAAATTAACATCTCCTGGATTATCTGGCTTGAAGGTAAATAGTGGATCAAATTGACGACGCAAATCGACTTTATTGAGATTCGAAAATATATTTGTAGTAGATTCAGAATTTTGTGGTTTGATGTGAATTCTGGAAAAGGCAATATGAGTTTGTGTTGGAATTGTATGCAAATCGCCAACCTTAGCATTTTTGCCAAAAGTTTTGCCGAGATATACCATTATTTCCTGAAGATTTTTCATTCGTTGAGCGTTACGATAGCTTTCGAGCCAGTTTCTAGTTCCAAGGATTTTTCGAAAGGGATACGGGGTTGAACTTTTATATTCAAACTGAAAGGGTCTTGGACTTGCTTTTCGTACTGATTTATACACATTTGTTGGTTTTTGTGTCTCATAACGTGTTTCATTTTGAATTTTATACTGTTTTAACGGAATAGTCTCCGTAAGAGTTTTTGCGTAAACATTTTCAGCCATAGCGTTTACAAGAAGGGGCATTCTTTCGTAGTAATTTTGATTAAATCCAAAATAGCTTCGGTCTAACCGATTAGCAATTGGACTGGCATTAATTATATTGTTATCTTTATTGGATTTGCTTTGGCTATTTCTATTTTGTACTAAACTTGTTTCTACTGCAATCGCGTACTCGTAGATTAGTAGAACTACCTGAAACATTTAAATAAAATAAAATAAAATAATTTATATTGTTTAATGAAAATGAAATAAAAATGTGTAAAAATAAAAAAATACCGAATTTTTTAGGGCTTTAATAATGACAAATTTTAACAAACAATTAATTTTATTTTGGATATAACACTTCATTGTAACAATACATACAACGAACGAAAAAAATAACTTATTCAAATAATTACTTTCAATTCAAATCGTAGTTGTCATCATGTTTCAAAAAATTTCTTTGAATTTCAAGATATGAACGAGGTTTATTATGAAGAGCTTTTGATGTTAAAAAAAAATCAGTCATTTCTTCTTTTCCTTTAAAATCTGCTTGCTTGTTAGGTAACTTTGGAAGAATATGTCCTACATTCTGCTCCAGAAATACGTCATTCGATAGAGTGCTCATAGTATCATCTGTAGGTTTATCTTTTAAATCATCTTCTTGATAGTTTTCTTCAATTATAATTTTCTCAAAATCATCATCCAAGTTTATCTCTTCCGAACGATAAGTAGATTCTTCCTTAGATTTTTGATTCATTATTTGAAATTTAGTTTCTGATATATTCTTTATAACATTAATTTTTCCATTGAATTTCGATGGTTTTCTGGTATTTGCGATAAATGCTGTAGTTGCTACCGGAACTTCTGTTGTAGAGATTATAAGTGTTGTTCTACCCGTAATTTCTGGTATTGATAATGCCTTTGTTTTTGTTGCTGATACAAATTCAGTTATAGTTTTTGGTGAAGTTAGTTGCATAGTTGTATTATGACGATGATACAAATAGTGTACAGACATGAAAGGATAAAATATTTTTCTTGAATCTAACGGCGTGTTACTATAATCATCATACGACTTTGCTTTGGGTATTTTGTTAGAATGATTGATTTTTCTATTTGTGTATGGTTGTTTGATAATGATGTTTTTCATTTTTTTGCGCGAGGTTATTATCTTTCTTTTAACGAGTTCTAAACCGTTAACGTCAAGATTTATAAAGCTATCAGATATATCTGTAGTAGAACCAAAATCTTCTACGTAATTTTTTTCATTGAAATCTAGTTCTGATGATATTTTTTTAATATTGTTTTTCTCATGTTGCAATTTACTGCCTGTTGAAATAATATTGAAATGTAATGGGTCATATCTAACAATTTTTTTATTAGATATCGGCTTTGTGGATTTTTCTTCGTACGTCTCAGTCTTTTCGATAACCATTGGTGGTGTCGTAATAATTCGTTCTGAGTGAGTTTTGATTGAAAACATTTTCTGAGTAGTAAATTTAGGATGTAGTATGCTTACAATGGTATTATTGGTGTGATTTTCTTTAAACTGTTTTGGCTTCGACGGCATGTATACCTCTTTAATTGCTTTTAAATTAGGTGTATTATGCGATTGTGTCCCTGTTTCTCTTAAACGTTTTTCATTAAAATTTTCAAATTCTTTAGAAACTGTAGGATTAATGGAAGTACCTTTCTCTTTAGAAGAATGAAATTTCGCATTTGTATTGTCACAAGGTGAGGTATGAGTTATAGATTCCGTAGTAGTATAGTACGGCATCAAAAGTTTTATATTCGATAGTAAATTATTTAATATTTCGCCTATTTTCGTGGGACATTTACAACTATTTAATCTTTCGTTTCTTGGAGTCGTGTTCTTAGTTGTAGTTATTAATATTTGAGACATCAAAGAATCTCCTTTAAAGTTTTTAATATTCAAATGCTGGTTTATTGGCTTTGTAACTATGGTTGGGATATGTGTACTCTCTGGCACATAATCTTCATATTTCTTCATTGGTTGAGTAGAACCGAAGGTTACGCGGTCACTTATCATTTTGTCCACATAATTCATGATTCTTTTATAGTCTCTGATTTTTCGAATCTTTGTAAAGTAATCGTTTTTTGAAGTTTTAAAATACATTATAGGTGACGTTTTATATTCGATCGCAAGTACTCTAGATGTTGGAAATCTTAACCAGTTTTTTCGATCAGAAAAAACATTTTTCTTGTATGTAAACTCAGTCGTATGTTGTCTTTCGTAGGCTGGGTTTGGTTTTGGGGTAGAATTATCACCAATTTTATAGAGATATTTGTTTTCATGAAGAGCTTTAATTAGGATGGTTAACAGTTTAAGTGTTGTTGTATCTACATTCAATTTAGCTTCATTCAATGGTATTCCTTCAGCGCTATTGTTCATCAGGCTAAGCCAGCTTTGCGAGGTTTTCACTTCGGCTTTCGGAATAATGTTGATTTCAAATACCAGAAGTATGCTCTGAAAAAGATAATTATAGTATTAACTTCATGTTTTCCTTAATAATTTATAGGTTTCAATTTTAAGTTCTTTTAATTTTAAGAAGTTTAGTCTTCATATGAAATTAGTTTTAATAAGCGGTTAGTAGGTCACTATGGTTTGTATACCATTTAACTTCAAAGTATTATTAACATTGGACAATACTTACTTATTATAGTGTTAAACACGTATATGTTAGTTACAAAAGTGCAGCGTAGTGTTTTCTTTAAACATACATAACATAAACTCTCACGTCTGTTTCCTAGAGGGGTAGGCAGAGACTATGGATTTCCATTTGGCACGATCCTGGCACACCTCTCTGGCCTCCTTCACATCGATGTATCTACGCATACACGCTCGTCGGTTAAGGGTACTCCTAATCTGACCCATTTTAAATATACATAACACATAACACATCACTATCAAGTTAAATAATTTAACAACGAGTACAATTTGTTAATTTTTAATAAGTGCGAGAGGTTATTGACATATCTTAAAAACAATCATTCGGCCAACAATCAATCAATCGTTAGAGTCATTGCTAAATTTAGAATAATTTAAGAAAAATTTAAATTACAAAAAATACTTTTTAATAATTTGTTGTTTTTGTGTGTGTATGTGGTTCTATCTGTTCCTTTGTAGGCTAAATGTCTGGCCCATTGCCACTTCAGCTAACTTATCCGTTGGGTTTTGTCGGTTACTTTGGTTCTACTATAGATATCCTTATTTTTAAGTCTATCACGCAAAGAAAGTCCGAGCATAGCCCTCTTCATAGCTCGCTAAACGACCTTGAAATCCCTCATACGACCATTAGTGAAAGACTACTGGTTGCCACACACGGTCAGTTCAACTGATCATTCCAACTGATTAGTTCAAACTAAAACTGTTGATATTTTTTAAATATTGGTTTTTCGATATATCGATAAATAAACTTATATATAAAACTTCGATATTGATATATCTATAATTATGTGTGTGGAGTTCATTAGTCTCAAATTTATAAGTCATCACTGGCAACACGCACTGGTTATAGAATCTTGTTTTCAAGTAGGATACAGCTGTGTTTTAATAAGATATAAGTAGGCAAGTGGTGTAAATATTTAACATTTTCGTTTTTTTGCACCGCTTGTGTGCTCATCACCGTTTGGCCTTATGAATGGCTGGAAGGGAATGCCTTAAGACATTAAGTACGCTAAGTTTTTGTGAATATATCGTGTACATATCACAAAAGTTATACAAGACATGCACATAATGCCGCCACTATAAACAACTTTAAAAAAAAGAGTCATTTTACATTGAATTTACATGCTAATAGGGAGAAACTGGCCTCTCAAACGCTCCATTTATTTCTTCTACTATGTTAATTAAAATTTATATGTTTTTGAGATGCTAATTAAAATTTAAATTAATTTATAGGTTGTAATAAAAAGTAGACGCAAACATCGAAAGCGTAAGGGTCTTTGGATTGAGATTTGTTAGACGTGAAAAGTGGTGTCTCGGTTAATAATATTCTCTACATCGAACTTCGGCCACGACGACCAGATGGCTCAACAAAGTCCAGCCATTTGCGCAAGACAGGATTAAAGTGCCCAAGTGTGCGGCGATCCGATACGATAAAGATCAGGCTCAGGACCACCGCCATTTTCCTGTCTCCGGGCTGCTACTGAGAATTTCTTCTTCGGAAACCCAGTAACTGATTTTGGCCTGACACGAGATTCGAACCCAGGATCTCATGATTAGCAAACGCGTTTACAACCACTAGACTAACGAGATAGTCCTGTTTAGATTATCATATTCTTATACAACATGTAACAAAAACCCTGTGGTTCCTGTTAACTGCGTTATCAGAATCAGTATCCAAAGTAACAACTAAAATGTCGTCGAAATAATTATATTAATATATTCGTCTTCTATATTTACATTTTTTTATAGAAGAGGGGGCAAACGAGCATGCGGCTCACCTGATGTTAAGTGACTACCGCTGCCTATGATCAACCGCAACACCAGGGGAATTGCAGGTGCGTTGCCGGCCCTTTAGAAAGGAGTAAGCTCTTTTCTTGAAGGTCCCCAGGTCGTATCGGTCCTGAAAAATCGCTGGTGGTAAACTATTCCACAGAGGTTGTACGCGGAAGAAAACTCCTCTTGAAACGTACAGTAGTGGACCGCCAAGCATCCAGATGGTGTGGGTGGTATTGGGACGTTTGCCGCGTAGTGCGTTCTCGAAATTTGGCGGCTGGGATTAATCCGAACAATTCCTCAGAGCACTCTCCATGGTATATGCGAAAGAAAATGCAAAGAGATGCAACATCTCTTCGCAGTGCCAGTGAATCGAGCCGATCGGAAAGCACTCGGTCGTCGACGATTCGAGCCGCTCCGCGCTGGATGCGGTCAAGTGGAAGGAGCTGGTACTGGGGAGCCCCAGCCCAGAGATGGGAACAGTATTCCATGTGCGGTCGAACCTGCGCCTTGTAAAGTTGCAGGCGGTGTGCCGGCATGAAATACTGTCCCGCTCTGCTGAGCACGCCAAGCTTTTGAGATGCCGATTTGGCCTTCTCTTCCAAGTGACCACGAAGCTGCACGTCACTCGATATGTCGACGCCGTGGATTCCGATACTGGCTGAGGCAACAAGGGGAGTGCCTTAAAACTGAGGAGATACGACAAAGGGGTTCTTTTTAGCGGTTAACGCGCAAACTTGTGTCTTCTGGGGGTTAAACTGGACTAGATTTAGTCGCCCCCAATCCGAGACTCTGTTCAGCAAAGACTCGACTAAAGACACAAGTTTGTCCCGGAACTCGGAGACGTTTTCCCGAGAAATATTGGCTCGGCCAGTGTAAAGAGCATCACCAGTGCTGTCATCTGCATTGCAATGAATGTTACGGGTTTGCAACATATCATTGATATGCAGAAGAAACAGCGTTGGCGATAGCACGCAGTCTTGTGGAACACCAGCGTTAATAGGCTTGCAATCGGAGCTTGCACCGTCTACAACGACCTTGATGCCCCGATCTGCAAGAAAGCTGGTGATCCAATCGCACAATTTCTCGGGAAGCCCATAGGAAGGAAGCTTCGAAAGAAGCGCTTTGTGCCAAACCCGATCGAAGGCCTTCGCAATGTCCAAACTAACGGCCAATGCCTCCCCCTTGGACTCTACTGCCTCCGCCCATCTGTGAGTTAGGTAGACCTGAAGATCACCAGCTGACCGACCACGGTGAAAACCGTATTGGCGGTGACTAATCAGCTGGTGATCCTCAAGGTAGCTCATGAGCTGGCAGTTTACAATGGACTCCATTGTTTTGGAGAACAAGGAGGTGATGGCGATAGGCCGGTAGTTGGATGGGTCTGAGCGGTCGCCTTTTTAGGGATCGGGTGGACGAAAGCCGTCTTCCATGATTTTGGGACTACGCCTAGGGAGTAGGAGTACCGGAAAAGACGCGTTAAAACCGGTACCAACTCTGGAGCACACGTCCTCAGCACAATTGGGGTGATTCCGTCAGGCCCACTCGACTTGTGGATGTCCAGGGAGAGGAGTGCTTTGCGAACCGAGCGCTGTGTGAACTGCACTTCCAGCATGGAGCACTCACACCGCGGGATGGTCGGCGGCGTACTCCCCGCGTCATCGAGGGTCGAGTTGGACGCAAAAAAAGAGCCTAGAAGATCGGCTTTCTCCTTTGTGGTATGGGCCAGTGAGTCGTCCTCCCTGTGCAGAGATGGAAGAGATGGCTGACAGAAATTCCAGAAGGAAGGCGAACTAGTTTCTCGCCAATTCTGCCTATGTGCTCTGACTTTGCCTTGGCAATGACTCTTTTGAAGGACCTAGAGGCGGAATTATACTTCTTTTTTAGACCGCTGGTGTTATCATCCCGGGACGCTGATGCGTCAGCCCAGGCTTGGTAGCACTCCTGCTTATAGCATGATGCTATTTTACGGGAGCGACCAAACCATGGCAGAGATTTGCCTCCAATGGGCACCACAGAGGAAGGAATAAAATGTTCCATACCCTGAAGTACCACATCAGCGACAGAATCCGCAACAACGTTGGGATCGTCCGATACATCCTTAAGAATGGTATTTTTTTCTTCAAACTTAAATCCTATTTACCAAATATCGAAAGAATTATTAAAGTCGGTTCAGAGATCAATATAGCATCTTCTCGTTTTTAAACTCTGTTGAAACCAGAAATTGTAAGAAGTGGTAACAATCACAATTTCTTATGTTTACGCGAACACTACACAATCTACACATTGAATAAAACTACTTTTGCGGATTTTATTAAGTTCAATTTACTTATTTTTAAATCCAGAAGTTTCGGGTGCTTTGTAGCACCCATTATCATGGGGGAATGAGGTAACTGACGCCCTGATGTCTGAGTTGACCCGTAGTAGGGTGGATGCCCCTATAATACCAGCTACGCCCCTAATTCCACCCTTTTCGCCTTTTTACTTCGTAAATAAGGTTTCTAGTCGTCTTCACAACAAATATTGTCAGCTGAAAAATTCTTCGTAACTGAAGGAAAGCATATTTCAAATATTATCACACAGTTATAAATTTAATAGTTAAGCTATTGCATAGCTTCTATCGCGGGCCTTGAGCGCGGGGACCGAATCCAGAAATTCCGTAACGAAAAAAAACCTCACGCTCCCCACTCCGACGGGCACGGAGGTGTGGCTTGAAGGCCGTGCATTGTCTAACGTCGTTTCTTTTCGGCAGTCTTCGACACGGTGTTGATAAATATTCCTGAATAACCAACAGCTACTGTAAGATAATAAAACCCACATGTATTGTAAAATAATAAAAATATTTTAAACAATATTAACTTTTTATTTATTTAATAAAAGAAAAAAATTTGTTTTCTTATCGGTCACCACGCTCAAAAAGTGTAACTTGAATTAATATCAAAGAAAAAGAAATACTGCATAAATAAAATAAATAAAAAATAATTATAATTGCATAAGTTGATACAAAATGCTATGCAATAGCTTTA